CCTGCGGAGCGAGCCTGCGGTGAGTTAACGCACAAGTCGTAACCTTCTGCCGGTTAAAACATAGACACTGACCGAAGTATTGCACGTGATGTCATATATACTGCCTAGTATGTAATATACAAATCTATAGTATGTAATATGTCATATGCATCCCGTAATATGCAATATAGGATAATGTGTGTTTGCTTACATATATGCTTAAATTCGGTGCTTAGTACTAGCCTCTAGATTGCATTTTGAATAACTCTGGGCTATAATTTGATACATGTATCCTACCAGGGATATAGACATATATATTAATTTTGATGCACGGTAGTATTCTCTAGATTGCACTTGGAATAATAAAGCTTATGTCACTGTAACTTATTATATATTGTAGTTACAGATATATATTAAAATATGACACATATAACGTGCATGTATTTGTATAAACTTGCAGCAAGGTGGAAAGCATTTAGCGGCAGTTGTGTTAAATGTATACATATACATGCATGTACATGTGTGTGCATAAACACATACATATATATACTTCTCTTTTTCTGCCTTATCATGCTTCCCAGCTGCTGACTCGCCTAGCGGGTAAGTTCGGCCTCAAGCCATTTTCCTGGCTGGAAGAGGGTGTCCAAGGCGGGGGGCCGGTACCGGGACCCTCGTGCTGCAGCCCCAGCGCGGGGCTGCCTGCTGGACACCAGCCAGCAAACGCGTGGTGGAGCTTCGCTTCCCATCTCTAGTATTTTTTTTTTTGTGGAAATAATATCCTCTGCTGTTCTTCCATTTCTTTTCCAGAAGAAAGCCTCGTGTGTGCTGTGTTAGCGTTACAAGTTTAAAGCTCTTTCATTTTATGGGACGGTATAGTGTAATCGTGGAAAAGTGCTATGTAATCTAAAGTTGTATTTCTATTCAGATTGTCACTGAGGTGTTTTGGTTTTCTTTAGTGAAGAAGCGAGTTCTTGAGAGAGAGTCTCATAAGCTGCACTTGGGAGAAAAAGGAGAACTGAGGTTGACTGTCACAGAACCTGAAACAGCACTAGCTGCTGAAGAGGAGGCATTTAAAGAAAAATTAGTTCCCACAAAGGTGAAAAAAAATTTTAATCCTAACCAGAGCCTTGAAATAGTGGTGAGAGTATCAAATAAGTCACTGATATTTTGCTTTCATTTTATTTTAGGCTCTGGATGCCACGAGCAATCTTCAAACAGAAGGTAAAATGTTATCCATCACTCTGTGTGCTGATTTTTCATAAAACAAAAATGTTGGTGCTTTTCTCCACACACAGCTCCAGTTCTGTGGGGAGCTGTGCTGGAAGTTTCCGAGTTTGGCAGCCAGACGTGGGTGATACAGGGAGAGATGTCTGGCCAGCAACACCGTAGACTTGATCACCAAGAATGGAGTTCACCTTGCCAGACTTACACCACGTGCCTGGTTTTAGCTTCTGAAATATCGCTTTTAATCAGAGGAGCATCTCCAGAGAGGGATTTAGTTCCCTTATCGTGCATAACTGCTCTAAGATAAGATCTGTATAGAAACACCTAGATTGAAGGTCTTAATCCCAGGCCTGGTGCCTCTGTGCTCCCTACAGTTAGGAGGGTCGGTAAAGGCAAGTGGTTCATCTCCCTAGTACCTCCGTGACTTTGGTTAGGTCCTCTTTCGGCAATATTCTGCTAAGCTTCATGATTCAAAAAGCGATCTAGAAAACATTACTGCACAGCCAAATATACCCATATCCGTGAAGAGTAAATTCTCAGCCCCAAGACAGACCCGTTAATCAGGAAGTTCTTCAGTGATTACCGCCGTATCTTTTCCTCGCTGTATGAAGTCTTGTTCAGTGCCGTTTTGTGTGGTTTTCCTCCTTTCAAAATTAGGTACTCAAAAGTTGTCATCTACTATTTTTTAGTTATACTGGAGAGGACCCTGAAAATCTCCAGATGCTGCTTTTAATCGCTTTGTTGGGTCAGCCTAGCTTTTGGTTTTCGCTTTTTCATACTTTCTTCATTAGACACAGCGGAGCAGATGATTGAAGCTGGCAATCTAAAAATTAACAACTAGTGTCTGTAGAGCTATGGCTTCTGCTATGATTTCTTTTGTTTTCTTCTTGCCAGGCTTACGCTGGTTGGCCTTGAAAAGCAGCTGTCTTCTGTAAATGTTATGGGTTTGGTATCAGTTGTTGTACCTCAGGAGAGCTCGTAAGCCCGGCGAGCGGGCAGAGCCAGCCTGTTTGTGCTGCCGCCTGCTCCAGCCTTCCCGCCCCGCGCCTCCATCTCTCTCCTTTGGGCTGCTCCCACAGCCGGCCTGTTGGGCGCTGCCCCAGGATTTAGGGATTTTTGGGTATTCTTGAGGAAAAGCAAGCAGAGACCTTACCCCCACACCCCGCCTCAGGTGTACAACTGCTCCGCCGAGCTCCTCTCCCCTCAGTCGTACCTGTCCTCTGCCGCGGCCAGAGATGGTGGCCCTGGAGGTTTACACTGAGGGCAGTGAGCACCAGGGTTTCATTCGGTGCTCATCTCCCCGCCATGGTGCAGGGATGTGCTGGTTTACCAAACTGAGAGGGGCTTATGCTTGTGTTTGTTGGGGCAAGGCGGGGAGAGCCGCCTTTGTTTGAGTGTGGCCATCTTGAGCACCCTGGGGTGCCTGTTGGCCTGTGCCAGTCCCCTGCCACGTTGCAGTTCTCTGTGGCCGCCATTTTCCACGACTTGTTGGACAGTTGTGTCTCCACATACCTGACTGACACTTTCAGTTTGCTCAGGCACGCAGAGGAGCATGTTGCTCCTGTTAGGAGGTTCTCTCCTGCCTCCACCCTCATCTGTCTGCAAAGCTGGAGATGTGCCTTCCTCCAGCAGCCACTGGACTTCTGGGGTACTTGGTGGCACCCCCGTTATATTTTCTATCCACAAAATTTTGTTGCACGCCCACCAGCCTTCTTTGCACGTGGGTCCTTTGGTGCTGTCATGCTGCACTGATGGCACGGCACAGTGGTCATCAGGAGGCTTTGCATCGAGTCGTGCAGATCCACTGGTGGCCTATGGTGCCTGCGGATGTCCCGAGCTCTGTTCGGGCTTGTTATGCCTGCACCCAGGCTAAGAAACAGGTGCAGAGGCTGCAGGGTCTCTCACAACCCTTACCAATGCCTGAGCAGCTGTGGCCAATTATCTCAATGGATTTTATTTTATTTTATTTTATTTATGTCTCTGACCCGGAGGCCTTGGACTTGTTTACTCATGACTATTTTTGTGCCACCAAAGAAGCTGCCTGCAGCCCTGCAGAATATCACATCTGGGCTGTTCTGGATCCCAAAATGTCCCTGGGTACCCTGCAGAATTTGATTGGTTAGATGATCTCTTTTCTGGGGAAAGGAAAGGAGAGAAAGGGTAAGCAAAATCTGCTTATTCCAGGAAACGTGTACCAATATATCATGTGGCTTATTTCTCTTTCTGTTGAAGATGATGCAGAAGCCTTGCAGAAAGCAGAGAGTTTTGTTCCAAACAGTGAACTCCAGGAGGAAGCCGGCTCTGCAGAGAACATCACAGAAAAGTCTGCAGAGACCTCGCCTTCGGTGGTGTTTGAAAACATACAAGGATGCAGTCCAAAATGCTTACGTATGCTGTTGGAGAACATCAGCGGCCTGACAGTAGATGATGACTTCACTGTGGAAGTGATACCCGAAATAAATGTTGCCGTAGCTACCTTTATAAAAAGTATCGGTAAGACAGGATGAACGTCATCATTCATTGCCATGTATGTGCATGAATAACAGCTTTTAGAGCTTGATTCCTCTCCCGTTAGTGATTCAGACAGTTTTAAAAAAGTACCTGGACTGTAGTCTCTCAAGAAAGATGCAAGTCTTATATACAGCTCCATGAAAATGCCTGTGATGCAAATGTTACACTGAAAAAAGAAAATTGTGGCATCTTCATTAATTGAATTGGATGAGAATGTTTCGTTGCCTCTATCTTATTTTGGGTTGGTTAGAGAAGAATTAGAAGCGCACTGAGTGTGGAGATGAGTTCTGCAAATTGATGAAGTATATAAAGTCTCCATTTGAGAAGAAAGTGACACAGTGAGAAGTGCTTAGTTTATACAAGAGATGAATAAGAGGGGAACAGAGACGTAGTGGTAGTGAATAGCAGAGAGTAACATGGCTGTGTGCATTTCCCCGTTCTTATTACAACACAGAGTTATTTGGCACCAAAGACAGTTTTGCTCCAAATACAAAGAGCAGTAGACTCGGCTCATTTCTCTGCCAGAAGTGATAGCCAGGGCTGATAATGACCCAGGAAAACACGGTCAGTTCATACTGCTCTTCTCTTTACAGATACTGAAGAATTTGTCAAAAAGTGTTCACAAAACAAGAGAATTAAAAAATTCAAAGTCACTGCCAGGCTTCTTGAATTGACCCAGAGCATCAAGGCTGAAAACATACCGGCCAGCGTTTCCACAGACTACATCACCGTTTACTTTGAGAGCGCACGGAACGGGGGCGGGCCGGTGTCAGACGTCCAGCTCTTCCCTGAGGAGAACTCGGCCATCATTACTTTCTGTGATCGCAAAGGTAACGCTGTCCTTCGCCTGACCAAAGTGCTCCCAGGCAGAGGGCCTGAAAGAAAATTACTGCAATCTGGGCACTAGAGAAGCCTGACTTGCTGTTGCTAAAGCCAGTGTGCACTGTCCCGTTCTTGGGAAGTGCTCTGGATTTAGAAATACTGCTGCATGTCTAGGGTTTCAGAACCTCTGTTTTTTTATGTTGCCAGAGGTTCAGCTGAATACCTGCTTTGTGCATGGGTTTTTCCCACTGATGTTTTCTCCCCATTTACAGAGGTTTTTATCTGCAATGCAACGTTAATTGTACTTACAGGTAGAGGAAGCAGGATCTGTCAATGACTTCAGCTTTCACAGCTCTCAGAAACTAATTAAGGTCAAATATCTTCATTATCAGGGAAGAATAGAGCTGAAGAGCAATCTTGTTACTATCCCTTGTGTTGAATCACTGTCCCGTTTTCGTGCTAGTGCAACCTCTGGTAAATATATCTGTGTCCTGAGTCTCCTGGCTTAGTAAATTATTAATTAAAGATATCTGTCAGGTGATTGTTTTTCTTCTGACTCTCACAATTTGCTTGAGAATATTTTGTACGTTAAGTTAGCATGTAATTTGGATCATTGTAATGTGATTTTAAGTCCCTGTCAATGTTATAATTCCTTTCCTTTGTCTGTTCCAACTGAAATGATAAAAAAAAAAAAAAAACAACAAACCAAAACACCAAAACTAAAAATGTACTGGCACAAAGAGTTTTATTTTAAGTTGAGAGTAAGGAGCATTTCATAGTAGCACCTTGATATGGCCCTGCTCTCTGGTGAGGTTTCCTTAGGAAATGAGAGCAGGGTGTAGCTGTACAGGCAAATACAGGCACAAGCATATTTACCAAACTAGTTGGAGCCAAACCTCTTATCTTGTCTCCTACAGAGTGGTTTGGAAATCAGAAAGACATAAAAATAGATCTTTCAAGTGGGGAAAAAAAAAAAGTTATTTTATTCAATGTAATAGTTCTAAGAACAGAGTCATTTGCTTGATTTGAAGTTAATGACATATGTGTGTTTGTATGTATGTGTGCTAACTTTTAGATCTGAACACTGTTTTGGAAAAGCAGCATTTACTGGAACAGACACCAATTTCTGTGCATCCGTATTACCGCTCCCTGGGAACAGCTCTCTATGGCGAAGAAAGACCAACTAACAAGATGCCAGACCCCGTTGGGATACCACTGGATCCGTACGTCTGGCAGTTTTTACAAAGGCAGGCTAAACTGATCCAAGACATAAACCAGGAAATGGCAGTTTGCCATTGTGAGCTAAAATGGCCACAGACAGACTGTGCACACCCAGAAATTATGCTGTGCCCGTCGCCATCTCTCTCCGAGCAGAAAAAGCCAATGATTAAGTTGATCAAGACATGGAAGCAAGATGCTTCTACTGAGTTCTCGCGTATCGTGTCCCGTTACATAGCTATAAAATGTAAAGTAAATTCGGTCGATTGGGAAGACGTGAAAAACAGATTGGTGAAAGATGTTTCTTTGATCATAACTGATATTTCTGAGGAGATGGTGGTGATTGCAGGCAACAGAGCAGCAGTGGACAGTGCAGAGAAAGAAGTGAGAGAACGCATGGAAAAAGCCATGAAGCAAAGTGAAAGGGAAAAACAAAGCATAGAAATTTCTGTGTCAGTGATCCCAGGGAAGTATGCCATTCTGCACAATGCTGGGCTAGAAGAGAATATTCGCAAAGACTATCCGTGCTTAAAGATCTCTTATGATGACACAAAAAAAACTGTTCAGTTGTGTGGGTTACCCACAGAAGTATATAAAATCAAAGCTGACTTACTGGAAAAGGTATTGAACATGCCATGTACATCACTTACCATTGATCCCCATGTTTTCCACTATCTACAGCGTGTAGATAATAAAACAGTGTCAGAGATGTTATTCACTAGGAAAAAAATTAATGCTTTTTATGAGCTTGAGGATGATGCTGTGTTGCTATTTGGAGATGGTCCCAAAGACCTTTTAGAAGCAGAAAAGCAAATAAAGACAGACTTAGAATATGAGTGCATCAATGTGGAGGATGGTGAGGTCATTAAAAAGGAGCAGTGGAGGTGTCTTCTTGCCTCCTTGCATAAGAAGTACAATTCTGCCCAGGAAACCGTAGTCATTGATGAACCTGTTGGAAAAGAAAATAAAGTGATTATTGCTGGCTTTTTAAAGGCCGTAACAGAAGTTTATCAGAAACTTAATGATTTTATAGATAGAAACACACACGTGGAAAAAGTAATCCCAGCTAAGTCGGTGGTGGTAGTGCAGTTTGTAGAGAAGGAAAAATCTGGTGTTTGTCTTGAATTGAGGAAGAAAGGTGTGACAATACGTTTTGACACCAAGACACCGTGTATTTCCCTGAGTGGCCCAAGAGCAGAAGTGCCAAAAGCAGTCACCACATTTGAAAAAATTCTCTCATCCCTTTACTTGAAAAATGTGCCAATTGATAAACCAGGAGCCAAAGAGTTCTTCACTGAGAGGAAAGATTCTTGTGTTTTTGAGGCAAAGCAGAAATTTAACTGTTTGATTAGGCTGAAAGAAGAAGAAGAACAACAACAACAACAGAAGAGTGAAAAAGTTGGTGATAAAGAGAAAGGAAAGCTCTACTACAAGAAAATGCTGCCAGGTGGAGTTGTAGTAGCAGTGTATAAAGGTAACTTGTGCACTCGTCTGGTTGACGTTATGCTAAATGCTACTAACGAAGAGTTAAAACACAGCGGTGGCCTTGCTGAGGCACTGTTAAAAGCGGCTGGTCCAGAGCTACAACAGGAGTGCGACGAGCTGGTGAGGAAGAACGGGAGTTTGCAGCCTGGGGGCGCGGTCATCCAGGGGGCCGGGAAGCTGCCCTGCAAGAATGTCATTCATGCTGTCGGGCCCAGGTGGAGGAAGGATGAAGCAGAAAAGTGCGTGTACTTGTTAAGAAAGACAGTGAAGAAAAGTCTACAACTAGCCGAAACATACAATCTTCGTTCTATAGCTCTGCCCGCTACAAGTGGAGGGATTTTTGGCTTCCCACTGGACCTGTATGTGAATTCGATTGTATCCTCCATTAAGGAGACCTTGGAAGAATCCATGGGGGACAGCAGCTTGAAGGAGGTTCATCTTGTGGGTGATGTGGAAGAAACAGTTCAGGTTCTGAGTGAGACAGTAAAAAAAGCGTTTACAGCCAAATCATCCTCCCCGATGCTGCCTATGCCACAATTGGAAAACCTTAAGCTAAGAGAAAGCCAGAAGGAGAAGAGAAGAGAGGTTCTGCAGATGACTAGAGATGATCTGCGAACGGTTACAACAAATGAAGGACTTCGCATCCGAGTAGAGGAGAAAAGCGTTCAGGAAGCCACGGTAGGTCTTTAATTTTCCACCTCCTCTCTAACTTGATGTGAAGATCTTCTTTAAATTTAAATAGAAAAGGAAGGACAGTAGGTTATGTTGTTTTACAAGGCAATTGCTATGTAAGGAAACAATGGCTATGATGTGCTAGCTAAACAAGGATGCAAGCTTGCAAAATTGATGGATTTCAGGTTGGGATCTGTCGCTCTGCAGCCATTTCTAGTGGGCAGCTGTGAATTTCGGGATGTTTTGTCCCCAGCTAGGTTTTATTTGTTCTCCAGATCTAAGGTCAACATGTAAAACAGTTTGCTTTTTTTCTAAAAGGGAAATATTAAAATACTTTCTAGAAGTATTTATATGATCTGTAGCTATCTTGGTTGGATATTACAGGAAATCAGCACCTGTCTGGGCTGCTGTTGTGAGTCATGCTAACAGGAAGGATACAGCTTATTTTTTTTAGTTCCATTCTCTTTGGATGGATTAAAGACACAGTCTATGAAGAAGTTACTGGGCTCTAAAAAAGCGACCCCACAGAAGAGTGCATGCTTAGATTGTTTTGCCAAAGTCTAGACCCGATTCCACTTACTTTTCCCCCATTTTCTTTTTTCATTCTTTTTGCTAACAGAGTTTAACTACTGCTCATCTAGACCATCAAGACTCAAGTTACGCTTCTGACGTAGTTTCTTTCCCTTATGTCTTTTTCTTCAGTGATGCAAACTGCATCTTGATAAATCTCTCTTTTTCAACACCCCCAGATTTTTATACTTCGGGAGTTTAAAATCTCCCTAAATTATAATTATTATTGTTGTTTCAATATTAGTTGCTTCAGTTGTCATTTTGGTGCCTGTAAAAGCCTATTCCAATAGAAGAGCAATACTAGATGTAGAAAAACCTCAATATGACACAGATTTAAAATACTTTTTAATTAAAAACATCTCCAGTGGAAAGAAGCAAAGCAAACACCAGACTTTGGGGCTCTGTCTGTTTCACTTCATGAGAGCACAACAACCTCCCTTCACCTCGTTTTGGTGCATGAGGTGCTGCTTTTCTGACAAAGGCGTAGACGATCCCACGTCAGTGAAAAGGAGAAAAGGGACATTAAGCTTTCTACATTACGTGTACCTTATACGATACATGTATTTTTGCATCCTGTGATGATGCTAGAGAAGAAGGAGCAATACTGCAGCAGTTCTTCCCACTCTACTCAGCGCTTGTCAGGCCACTCCTGGAATACTGTGTACAGTTCTGGTCCCCGTTATACAAAAAAGATGTGGACAGGCTGGAGAGGGTCCAGAGAAGGGCCACCAAGATGATCGAGGGTCTGGGAAGCCTGCTGTATGAGGACAGGCTGAGAGAGCTGGGCTTGTTCGGCCTTGAGAACTTGAGAAAGAGGCTTAGAGGTGATCTCATCACCATGTACCAGTACTTAAAGGGAAGAGACAAAGAAGATGGAGACTCTCTTTTTACAAGGAGTCGCATGGTGAGGACAAGGGGTAATGGGTACAAGTTACTCCCAGGGAGATTCTGATTGGACATGAGAGGTAAATTTTTCACAATGAGAACAGTCAATCATTGGAATAATCTCCCCAGGGAAGTGGTTGACTCTGCTACACTGGACAGATTTAAGACTCAGCTGAACAGGGTGCTGGGCCATCTCGTCTAGACTGTGCTCTTGCCTAGAAAGGTTGGACCAGATGATCCTCGAGGTCCCTTCCAACCTGGTATTCTACAATTCTATGACGCTTCACAAGGAAATGTAGGAAAGGCTGGGTCTGGGGAGAGGGGATGAGGCAGACTGCAGAGGTTGGGTTTATTTCACCTGCCCAGACATTGGTGTCTGCTTGGGACGAGGTGAGTCACAGCCTTACCTCCACTGAGGGCTTGACAGTGATGGATGGATGGATAACCTGCTTGCACACAGATAGACACCTGTGGTGTTGGTACTCACAGGGGGTCTGATGCTGCCTACCATAGGTTTCCTACAAGTCCAGGAATACTCAGTATGCAGAAGCTGTGCTGAAAACCAGGTTATTTCTCCGTTGGCATCTTGTTTTTTGTGCTGTGCATTGCTTTGGTAGTGCTATTACTCTCTGCATATTTTTACTTGAAGTCTGGCTATAGATATTTTTGTTGTAATTTTGTTGCAGACGGATGTTATCGTCAACAGCGTTGGCACCGATCTGAAATTTGGTGTGGGGCCTCTTTGCAAAGCCTTGCTGGAAAAGGCTGGACCAGCGCTCCAAGTAGAGTTTGACAAAGAAAAACAAAGACAGGTTGCTGGTCAAGGGAGTGTGCTCTGCACCAGTGGATGTGGTTTGTCCTGCAAGTCTGTGCTTCATGCCATAATGCCCTTGTGCGATGGAGCTAAAGGGCAGACCCTGAAGGTACATTTTAATTATTTAAAAAAAAATTGATTTTGAAAACAGATTTATTTGGGATCCTATCCTGAAGTTTCAGGGTTTAAAATAGTTAGCTGAGATGACTCAACTCCATTTACTTCTGTTTGAGTGACCTTAGAGATGCCTTGGTGCGTAGAGAGCTTTTTCTCATATCAGCATAGTCTTTATGGAACTAATAATAAATGATGCCTTTCTTTTTTTTTTTTAAAAAAAAAAAAAAAAAGGATCTTTGCTGTGTTTTACAGACCCTAGAAGATATAATCAATTCCTGCTTGAAGAAAACTGAAGAACTTGGACTGAATTCGATCACTTTCCCAGCTATTGGAACTGGAGGATTTGGATTTCCTAAAACCGTTGTTTCTAAGTTAATGTTTGATGTGGTATTCAAGTTCAGTAGTAGTCGCACTCAGAAGACTCTTCAGGAAGTTCATTTTCTCTTGCATCCAAGAGATAAGGAAAACATTCAGGTAGTTCTTCTCAGGACAAAGCCATCTATGTTATATACTGGTCTAGTTATGCCTTAACAATATATTTTAGTTACATTGCTTTCTTAAGGGAATAATTTAGCACTTTCTTACTGCTGTGGGCCCGGTGACAGTGGGATGTCTCTCCAGTGTCTCATTCGGTGTCTCTGAAATATAAACTCTCAGCAAGCACAAGCTGCAGACAAAATTGGACTCGCTGCTGGCACTGTAAACACCTGTAGATGCTCACTCATCTTTTGACAGAGGAGTTCTGGCAACGTTAAGGCAGTATCTGTTATCACACTGAGGCTTCCACTGTTATTAATGATACCTAAACATGACTGTAAAATGTGTCAGATGGCACAGCAAGAGCTACATGACTAATTATATATATTATAGAAATATTTGGTGTATAAACTCTGAAACACTATCTTTGGTACCTTTTTTCTCTTCTTAGGCTTTTACCACTGAACTGGAATGTAGGGTAGCTGGAAGTTGCAGTGCTGCAGCACCACAGTCAAGTAAGTTGTGTAGGGGCAGGAGGTGGGACACGGGGGAGAATGTAAATACTGTAACGTGGTTCTATATGTATTAGGAAACAGGCGAAATGTCATCAAGACACAGAGCATTTTTTTTTCCTCCTAATGGACTGGCATTCCTAAACTCCATTTGTAAAAATCTTAAAGAGGAACTTCTTTTATTGAGGGCATGCTGATGTCTTAGTGAGGCCAGTCTTATCACATGGAAGAGGATATCCTGGTGGGAAAACTGTTAGTTTGTCCTGCTCAAAGGGTATAAGGACTTGGTATCACTTTGCCAAACAAGCCATAAATAACATGTATTTCTGTACCTTTAATCTCCTACATAGAGATATACAGAATGGATAATTGCCTTTCCATTTATTAATTGATGGTAGTGTGACACAATAGCAAAAACATATGAGTGAACGGTATCAATGGTAGAGGCTTATTCATAAGAATATATAGCTCTTTCTTCTCAGTTGCTGTGAGTATCAGTGAGATGAAGTTAAGAGTGTGCAGGTAAAATATGAATTAGGTAAGTTTAGACTAGAGGTAAGGAACAGTTCTGTGAGGGTAAAGATGAAATAACTTACACAAGTGGTGTGATCTCCATTACTGGCAATGCTTAAGCTGGATACTCCATTTCTTGTAAGAGTTAATTCAGGAAGCTCTGTTACAGAGCTGGACGGATCACACAACCCCAAGAGTACTGTCTGAATTTATATTGCATGAATTTACAGGAATAGAAATGGTTTCACTTCCACAATATTTAAATGGGAAGAATACTGCACCTTCCTGCTTTCAGAAGTGGAATAAAGAGAAAGGCAGAGACTCTCTAGGTCCATCAAACTGATCTAGAGCGTATTCCTCAAAAGGATGAGTTGAAGTTTCCATCAATGGAAGAGAATAATACCCCAGACTAGAGGAGAAATGTTTTAAGCTGGTTTTCTTTCCCTTGCAGGTTTCATTAGTCCTGTTTCAACTGAAGTACTGGGAGTTTATGAAATGCAGATTGGTTCCATTACGCTCCAAGTAATTAGTGGAGATATTACCAAAGAGGATACAGAAGTTATTGTAAACATATCAAATTCCACGTTTAATTCCACATCAGGTATTGTATTGAATAGGTAGCTCTTCAGTGATGAATTTGTGCTAGTTTTTAGAAGGGGGGAGGGGAAAGAATTGTCCATATGTGAAACTTTTATGAAGTATTTTTCAGATGAGAGTGAGTTGTGATTAGTCAGGAAATAGAACTTAAGCAGGGTTTTTACATGTCCTGAATATTCCATTTAGTTTCCAAACTACTCAAACAAAAGGCATCTGACCAGATATTTCTTGTTTAAAAACAAAAATGCTTAAATCAAAGGGAATTTTTAGATCAAATATAATTCTGCAAAACTGCTCTTGTCCTAGTATGTTCCACTGTAAGCCAAAGCCCTGGTTAAGTAAATTGACCTGTAAGAAGCAGAGGATTCTTTGGTGACATTGTGAATTGCAAGCATGAAGGACATCAAATATAATTTGAAGCAACTGGAGTTTGGTGAGGGGCATACTATTGGCTGGTGAAATGATGAAATAGGAGTTATTCTTAATGATTTCTAATCAATAATGAAGGCAATGTTCTCTTTGCAGCCAGTACAGTGCATCACGGAGGCCACTTAGGGGAACTGGCAAGGTTTTGCACTTTGTGGGATCTTGCCCTATGAGAATTTGGGGTGTTTCTTGGGCATAGTTTTGAGTAGGAATAGCTAAATTGACTTAATGAACGCATATGCTTTTCTTGTATAATTTAAGGGGTCTTCAGAGCAATCATGGATGCTGCTGGTTCCCAGATAGAAGGAGAATGTACTCAATACGGTATGTGAAAGCATACTATTTTGTTTGAATAATTTTTTTTTTTTGTTCTCTCTGAAAACTTAAAGTTGTTTTATAATTCTCTACTCTGATGGTATAATTATTTTACCTGAAAAAATAGCTTTCACTTCTAGGAGTTCTGAAAAGTCCTGTTGTTGTGACATCTGCTTTGAGAATTTTTCTTTTCACAACTGAACAGACGATGGATACAGTTTTCTGATGCTAATAAATGCTTGGAAATGAATGTAATTTGTTCTTTACCCCTGAAATTACTCGTGCACGTTCCTTACATCAGAACAGAAACAGTCCCATTGACCTGAGCATAATTTTTAAGCTCACCTATTGTCAGCTACAGGACAGCTAGAGTTTTGAAACTGAACAAAGTGGTGGAAGACTGTCCTTTGGTGTAAGCACGTGGAGGACTGGCTTTTAAAAGCTAATAGCAAATCTGGGCTTATATTCACAAAGACATAATTCTTTTTATTGAAATAATGTAACTCTGCTTATCACCCTGATCATGAGTTCGTCTGTAGACTGCATTCTGCCAGACCAGTAAAGCACTAAAATCCCAGCTCACTGTGGCTGATTCCTACGAGCACAGGAAGGAACACATTCTGGTTGCAAAAATAAAATGTTCCTGCTCTGAGTCCAGAAGTTAACTTTCAAGATGGAGTTTCCTGGATATTTTTCCCAGCTTTTGGCTCTGCAGGCTCTCCCCGTTTATCATCCTGATCTCAGCGCATGCAGAGCATCTTAAAATCAGTTGTTACCTTTGTGACCAGTGAAGTGGTATGTAACTCTCTGTTCATCAGTCCATTCATCCTCAACATATGAGGTGTTTGTAATCCATTTTGAGGTGTTTGTAATCAAGTGTGAGTGCTCTGAAAAAGCACAAACATCTTTTTAAAGATTCATTACCACAGTTCTAAGATCAGTTGGTCATTATCTTAATGATATTATTTTAACCATTTAGCTCTTCTGCAGAATAAGAGTTTGAAGTTTCAAGGAATAAGGGGCATAAGAAAGGATTTCTCATATAACTGAATTGTGCACATTCTATTGGCATGCTTTTAAATAAAAGTGAGCTGTATATTCAGCTCATATTCAATGAGAATTCTCATTGAATTCTCAATTCTCATATTCAAGAATTCAACATAAATTCTTAAGTTGTACTTAATAGCAAACTACTTTGTAGGCGAGATCTTGGGAAATTAGAAAACGTCCAATTACTGGAATTGCTTTCTCAAAGAAATTCTGCAATCAGAATATTTACAGAGAAAACTGGAATCAACTAAAAGCAGGATAATATAGCTCACAGTGGATTTCTTTCCACTTTTTCCAATTCCCTTCTAGTGTGCATTACTCCAGTGTACGCTAGCATCAATACAACCAGCTGTCTTATCAGAAGAGATAGCCACTTTGAAAATGTTATGTCTCCTTTATCTTCTCTCTTCCAGCTGGACAGTGTCAAAGTGGCTTTATTACTACAGAAGGTGGAAACCTGTTGTGCAGTAAAATCATCCACTTGATTCACAATAGCAACATAAAGAGTCAGGTCTCCAAAGTCCTTCACGAGTGTGAGCTAAGGATGTACACATCTGTCGCCTTCCCAGCAATTGGAACAGGTTTGCTTTTTCTTGGGAAAGCGATGAGGGCTGTGCTGGGGATAGTTCAGAAACTGGGACGAAGTTAAGACCTCTGATATGGATAATAGTAGACTTGTACAAGTAAATGGTGATTTGTGAAAGCTCATTGTGGTCAGTTCGGACACCACTCATCCACTTCAAAAATGCTGCTTTTTTAAAAGTATAAATATTACAGTCAGTATTGATTGAGCAAGAACACCTAAAGAAAAGGTATTGCTCCATAAAAGACATTCTGCCCCAAAACAGACTGTGTATCTCAGCTGGCCACCTTGCACCTTTCTTCAAACTTCCCATCGACCTTGCTTTGGGATTTCAGCTCCACAGAAGGGCTGGGGTTGGGGTTTGTAGGTGAAGAAAGCTGGAGTTGTCCTGAGACCAAAACCTTGCCTGGCTGACTATGGAAATTGTGGGCTGGGTACAGAATACCTGCAGTTTACACCTTTTATAGGTCGTCTTTCAGCCTACCTGCTCCAGCGTAGGGCTAGAGGCAGGCTAGCTTATTTGGCTTATGCTTCTGGTAAGTTTGGAAAGTGGGGCTTGAAGAAAGCAGGGTATCCTTCTCAGACCAAGGCTCCCCTTGACTGGAAAAAGAAATTGCAAGTTGGTCTTTGCTCAGCGTGCCAGATTAGGGTAGGAGCTGGTGCGTGGGTCAGTGCTTGGACTCCACAATAATAGTTACGGCAGGTCCCCTGGACTGCCAACATCATCTGCATGCTGGTGTCATGAGGGCTCTCCAAGGGATGCCACGGCTGAAATTGGCAGGGGTCCCACCAATGTTTTGGGATAAGCTTTCGGTTGCACTTCAGGCTTGTTGTAGGGGAACGAGAGCAGTTGTTTTGAGCTTGATGTTCCTGTTTGTATGTTGAAATACACTGTAGGCTTGTGCCAAAATCTTCCGCTGATTTTGATTTGGTTTGACTTTGGTAGGCAGTTTAAAGATGGGGATAGAGTTAGTGATGTGTGGGTTTAAAAATATCAGGGGGATGCTAAGGCTGAAGTGCTTGTTGGAGCCTCAAAGTAAACAGGGGGAGAATCCCAGAAGGGCTTCCCGGGTCTGTGTAGGGTGTCAACTCCTGGAGCTCGCAGGCTTAGGTGTAAAGCTGAGGTTAAGCCTGGGGCTTTGGCCAGAAAGTGTAATGGGGGAGGAGAGAGGGACACCAGTCTGTATGAGCTGGGGACATGGTCTCTGTTTTCTGGATGCTGCCTTGATTTAAGTACTGTTCACTGATGCATGCCTTTAATTTTCATTTAGGTCAGGCAGGACAGAGTCCAGCAAAGGTAGCTGATAACATGTTGGATGCTATAGTGGAATTTGCAAGCAGAAGATCAGTACAGCATTTGAAAAAAATTAAGATCGTCATCTTCCAGACACACATGCTCAGAGACTTTTATGAAAGCATGAAGAAAAGAAAAAATTCAGATTCATCCACAACAGATTCGTGGATGTCTCTGTTTAAATGTAAGTAAGCGGGTTTTCCATGTGCATGGGCACATAAAACTAAAGCTCTTTTATTTAAAACTAATAATTAACATATATTTCTTCACAGCACTTTTTTGGGGCAAAAAACAACCCACTGAGAAGATAAAGCCTGTGGTTTTGGAGACGAAAGTTGATTTAGCCACATTTCAAATTTGTGGAGAAAGCCAAAAAGATGTGGATGCAACTGAGTCCTGGATAAAGAATTTGATTTTAAAGGAACAGCTTGAAAACAGTATTTCAGATGAGTTAATTGAAAAATTTGATGAGAGGCAAATTGACGCTTTGGCAGATCTCCAGAGAAGAAAACATGTTACCATTCAGCTTGAAAATAAACTTTCCCCCCCTTGCGTTAAAATTTCTGGTATTAGCAGGGATGTCTGGTTTGTTTCTACGGAAGTTCAAAAAATGATCCAAAAAATTAAGGATTTTGAAGAAGAACAATCCAAGGCAGAACTTGTTTATAACCTGGTAGAATGGAGGTATCAAGGAAGCAATGATAGCTTTGTTGCTTTTGATAAACTGACAAATATGCAGCTGGAGGATGCCAAAATAACTAAAAAAACACATCTTCCTGTCAAAATTAAGAAGAAGAACTACACGGTGGATCTGAATACTCTACAGGCTACTGATGACCAAGGAAAAACTATAAACATTCAACGTGTGCCAAAGAATGAAGGTAAAATACAGCTTTGTTTAATAAAAAAAACCTTTAATATAGTCATCATTGAATGGTAATTCTGATAAATGCACACTCAGGTATTCTAAAGAACTGAACTATTCCGTGGCTTTTTTTCCTTTTTTTTTTTTTTTTTTTTTCCTTTTTCTCGCCCCGCCCCGGGTATGCCATCGCCAGCAGTTTTAATTTCATAACTAGTGGCAGGTACGACTGAAATCAGAACGTCTATTTTAAATACAAATATTATCCGTACGTATGTGACTAGTGAGCATAGATTTCATGCTCATTTCATAGATTTAAGTCTGACAAAGGAAGTGGTGTATGAAGAATGTGTAAAATTCTTCTGTGGTTTTCAAGCTTGTTTTAGTTAGGTATTGGTATGGGGATAATTAGGCTAGAGAAAATGTAAAGTCTTAACACTGCATTACAGAGCCAGTGATAGATTGAAGAGAGAGAGTATTCTTGGAATAAAGTATTGTGTAAGGTACTGTCCTCGCAGCCCTACAGTTGGTTTGTAAGACGTGCCTACAAAACTGAGCTAGATATCTGTGATGATAATGCAATCTCTGTTTTGCAGATAAGCAGTCAATAGAGCTCCCTGTGCAGTGGGAAGACATGCAAGAGGAACGGGTCAAACTGGTGAATCTCAAGCCATCACATCAGGAATATCTGGACGTTCAGAACAAATTTAGGAAAACCTGTCCCAGCTTTGTCATAGAGAAGGTGAAATCCTGTGAGGGGGAAAAAAAAGTGAATTCTTGGGCTAAAAACATTAATACACTTTCTAAATATTTGTTTGTAAGGTGTCTGCAACCTCATACACCTTTCATATGTCAGTCTCCCCAGCACTGTACAGGGTGGGTATAAACGAAATCAAATTTCCTAAGAAAGAGCTGCCCTGCCATTTCTGCCTTCTAATAATGCAAAACCAGAGACCATCAGTCTTCAGGCTGACTCTATGTTCAACTAATGTGGTACTCACTAGTTAATGTGGTATTTCCAATTAGTAAATTCTATATTGAAATGGAAGCATGAGCAAACACATTCAAAATACGAAGGAAAACACAAAGTCCTTGCAGACTGGCCATAAAGCTTTTTACTATTTTACTACTTCGTCCCTGTCAGTCCTCGAGGTTTTCAGGCTAGAGTGTTGGTTTTAACCAAAGTGTCAAGATTTGATTCTGCTTATTGAAAAGGCTGCAACACAGTGCACAGAGATTTAATTGCCAGGGAGAAGATGGAATTATTCAGAATCAGGAGGAGCGATAAATAGGAGAAAATACAATGAAATTAAGAGTGAGAATATGTGTTTGAAAAATTTTCTTCCATCATGAGAGTCTACGAGCATGGTCACTAAGACACAAATAGAACAAAATATTAGTGTACAATGGAAAAAATCAGGTGATGACATGAAGTCTTTTTCCATTGAAAATGGAAAGCTGTTACAGCAATGCCTTTAGGATTATGCTTTGACACAGACACACTGTTTCCCCTGAGCTATATTCACATTGTTGGCATAGGGAGCCAGCAACACCTATCCTCCCACCAATTTATTTTTATATAGGAGTTTCTTACGGGTTGCTAAGCTACACAGTAAAGGAAGTAATTTTGACTTCCAAGCTGAGATCTAGAAGAGAAACTTAAATTCAACGTAATGCTATCGCTACAGTCTACCCTTTAGTGAGAAAATCATCAGTAAAGATGATTAGGATGTACAGAAGGCATCTTACATCATTGCCTCTAGCAGTGGTACAACAGCCTACTTCTAAAAATGACAATGCGCAGCTACCATGATTGCCTGTGTACCTGGTATACTAGGCAAGACAAATGTATGCCAAAAATTACCAAGCTTGAAAATCTCTTGTAAGCTACTTTGGTTTCCGATTTTTCAGGGAGCTCATGTATTCAGTTCCCCGACCCAAGCCACACGCTAACAGGGCATAGTGAAAACTACTGTCATTCTTCCAGTTTGGTTTGGTTTTAATGCTTTCCTGCCATGATAAATATTGGTCCCAACCAGTATAAATATAGTTCTGTTTTGTAACTTTGCAGATTGAAAGAATACAAAATCCCTTCCTCTGGCAGACATACCAAATTAAGAAAATCTCTCTCTGTGCAAAGAACAAAAATCAAATTAATGAGAAGCTGCTATTTCATGGGACAGCTCCATCCTCATTGAGCATGATCAACTACAATGGATTTAATCGTGGGTTTGCTGGAAAGAATGGTGAGTCATTATCCAAAGCAGTTCATTTCCTAAACATGTATGAGATGCTAGGGAATGTCAATGTTATAGCGCTGTTGGCACAACATGAAGACTGAATAAAGTTGGAGAACAAAATAATAAACAACTCTGGAGCATAATCTATATAGACAGAGGAATTAACCTGTTCCGTTAATTCCTGTTGATGAATGCCACCATCTAGAGGGTATCAGAAGAAGCTCGCCCACTCTGAAATCAAGCCTGGGCAGCTTTTGAGAAATGTTTTGTATGATCTGCCTACAGAAAGGACCAAGGACTGCTGTTCAACATCCTCAGCCGAGATACCAACCACTAGCTGCTGGTATCTCCTCCCTTCTTAGACAAAGGCAGGTAGCAAAGCAGATACTTTTCCTGTTGCCTCCAAAGATAAAGATGGCACAAGCAATTGGAAGATCCCACTCCCCTACCATTTTTATGCAAATGAAATCAGTTGAAATTCATGAATTAATTCTTTCCCTTTAATAGTTGTTACGAATAACTATTAAATATTTGCACAAAGACTTTCTGCATTAGTTCAAAGATTGTTTTGTCCAGTTCCTCTAGTACAGTCATGTTATGTTTATTATTTGGTAGCATTCAAAGATGAAGGACAGGATCCAAAGAAGTGGAACTTGGGCTGAATTGAGGTGCCAGTCACTCTTAGAGGTCTTGCAACCTTACTTCAAAAGTCCTTACTTTCTGTTCTTAATGTTTTCTTCCTTAAGACATAATTTACATGCCTACAGCTGACTTGATTTTGAGAGAACTGGACAGCTTAACTCAGATCTAATTGACACTTCAGTGTGGTCTGGATCCAAAAGTAGACATTTCTCTGTCTGGATCCTCTAAAGGTACTTATGCTGATGTTTTCTTGAGAAAATGAAGCCCAACATACACAAAGTATATCAGGCTGCGCACAGATAGAAATGGCAGCCACCATTTCTTTTTAAAACATGACCAGAGGAGATGTAGTTTCGCTTTTCTGCTCTTTGGTAGTGCCAGGAGGTTGGATTTATTACTTGGGAAGCAAGAGCCCTAGATCCCCATGTCCTCTCTGCCTGTGGATATTGACATGCACCTCTCCGTATCCGTCATGATTTACTATAGGAAAGGCATGCTTCCCTTCTGTCAGGCTGGGTAGCCATACAAAAATATCCAAAGATCAGAGCAGCCAGATAGGAAGGACGTGTCTGGCCTGAACAGCTTTCTACCACTGTCAGAAAAAAGAAATCTGTCTCAAAGAAACGTGATTCCTCTAACTTTGTGCTGTGAAGTGTAACTAGAAAACTGTAATTACAATTATATAGTCACTTTAAGTTCAAAAGGCTCTGAAGATTTGCAATTTGATGGATTGCAGGCTAAACAACAAGGCTAAACAGAGAGGAACCCTTTTCCCCATAGGAAAGGGCAGTCAAAACCTGGGTGTTGATACTTACCCAACATCTAAGTGGATTCATATTCAATTCTGATACAAAAGGTTATTACTACAATTTGCTGTTTAAACTCTAACCAAATTTATAACTTCAGCAGAGTTAAAAAGAAAGGGGAGCTTTAGAGATTCTTAGGGGAATATGAACACTAACTATATTTGAAAATATTGTCTTTCCAAACAGCTGCGGTCATTGGAAATGGAACCTACTTTGCTGTTGATGCAAGTTATTCTGCTCAGGATACTTATTCCACACCAGATACGAACGGCAGAAAATACATGTACTTGGCTCGGGTCTTAACTGGGCAGTACTGTGCTGGGAGCAGAGGACTAATCACTCCACCATCCAAAAACCCAGCAGATCCTACTGACCTGTATGACAGCGTGGTTGATAATGTGGCTTGTCCAACAGTGTTTGTCATATTTAATGACATTCAGGCATATCCTGAATACCTCATTACTTTCAAAAGATAGAATATTCTTAATAGTCTGGAAAATTTTAGTGCCTTTTACATGTGGGAATTAGCAGGGCAATTCTTGATTCTTGTTTACATCTAGGTTTCTTAAATTAAGTGTTTGTTTATCTATCCATGTATTTACATATGTCTTCAAATTATCAACACAATGAGGCCAGGATAAGCAAATATTTTAGAACGTGCTATTTCAATACTGACATCTCAAATTCAGGTCTGCGGAGGTATAGGGAAGAACTGTGAGAAGCAGCCCTGACGTCTTCCTACGCAAGACAGAGGGGACTGGTAGGAGAGGGAGCTGCTCTGCCTTACCTGTGGCCTGAAGTAAAAAGGGTAAGGTAGGCTATTGCATCTATGCATATTCCTAGTTCCAGTATTCACCGTTGTCCTGGTTTCAGCTGGGATAAGGTTAATTGTCTTCCTAGTGGCTGGTATAGTGCTGTGTTTTGGATTTAGGATGAGAATAATGTCGGTAACACACTGACGTTTTGGTTGTTGCTGAGCAGTGCTTACCCTAAGTCAAGGACTTCTCATCATCTCATACTGCCCGGCCAGCGAGGAGCCTGGAGGTGCACAAGAAGCTGGGAGGGGACACAACCAGGACAGCTGGCCCAAACTGACCAAAGGGATATTCCATACCATATGGTGTTATGCTGAACAAAAAAACTGGGGGGGAGTTGGCTGGGGGAGGGAGTGCAGCCACTGTGGGGGAGCGAGCGAACGGCTGTGTTGTGTTCAGTGGCCTGCTGCATTAAACCACAACCACCTTAAAGCACCAAGCAGCTGGCTGCCTGTGAGGATTTATTTAAACCACTCTGTGTTGGAGGAGTAACCTCTCTTGCCAGTGGAGTTTTCAGTCATTCTCAGACATGTACTCACCCTTGTTGGTGCTAAGAGTCCCGAAGAAAAAAAATCCAATATTGAACATATACTTTGCATTCATTGTTTCACCTCCCCTTATGCTGTTGTGGCTCACTTTGTTATTCCCTAGGTATAAATTCCTATATTCATACCCATTGCTTACGGGCATTTTCTATGGTCCTCTGCATTACATACATCCAACTTCCACGTACAAAGTCATTGTTTCTGGTTTAAAGTTCTGTGAAGCAAGTAAATAATGGCATTTGCACATCTTTGCAACCTGTACACTTAATTACAGTGATAATCTTACAACTGCCAGTCAAAAGCCATACACATGGGCTTTAATAAAAGTAGTTTCAGACAGCTATGTTGTATTTCTGAGTCGTTGTTTACACAAAGGAACACACTTGAAGCAGAAGTGTCGCTATACATTTGAATATCTTTATGTTACAGTGATGCTATAAATAGTGAGAAGCTGAAAAGACAGAAGACAAAATTGTTTTCGTGTATTGTCTGTGTGACAATTTGTGCGTACCGACTCCAGGTGAAATTGTTCTGCCATAGTCCAAAGGAGACCTGTGCTGCCAACAGCTGCCAGCATGTCTGAAAACCCTGCCGCGATGTTCCCATTGCCTGCAGAGGGGAAAAGTGCTTACGGCATCTGTAGGTGGCAATATAAAAAGTTGCTGCTCTTCACAGCAGCTGCCCATGCAATGCTTCAGATGAATGTCCTGCATAAATTCCCACTTAAAGCAAAACAAGAGTTTAACCCACTCCTGCTTTAACAGACTTTGCGCCCTGTGAAAAGGCGAGGACGCTTTTCTCCCTTCTCTGCTTTTTTTGGGCGCTTTTCTGTGTTGTGGAAACACCGCAGCAGCCAGAGGGACCGACGGTACCAGGCCTCCGCCGACTTCTCCCCCTGCTGTCGCCGAGCTGCGGGGTGAGCCGGGACACGCCGCCTTCCCTTTGCGAGGCCCTCGCTGCAACTGAATGCCTTGGAAAGCAGCAGGAGCTGCAAGATGAAGCGCTACAAAAACCCAGACAATTTTTATTCCCCATGGCGGTGGTAGAAGTTTCTTTACTAGTTTCTGTACTAGAAACTTGGGGATAACTCTGTTGTATGGTGTTTGTGGACTGAGAAGCTGGAAAAAGGCCGTGTTGCGCATGAAAAAGACTCGAGTGCTGGGATGGGTTGGCTGCAGCAGGACCTTTGCTTCCAGGCAGCGGGATTCCAGACTCATGGCCTGGAGCAAACTCCTCAAGGCGCAAGACTCCCAGGGACAAGGAGCTCTGCCTCGGGGAGAGAATGAGGGGCCTTGCTGAGCTGGAGACCTGGCACCCCAACCCAAAACTGGTTTTAGTAGTGGCAAGGCAACCAGAGCCCTGTGGGGTGCACTGAATCTCAGGCAGCCACGCGCTGCACAGCTCCCCACTGCACTGCATGGACCTACCTCAATCGCACCACGCTGCGCTGCACCTAACTGCGCTGCATGGCACCACGCAGCACTGCGTTGCCCTGCCTTGCTCTGCACAGGTCTGCGCTGCAGTACGTGCGCTACATTCTTGGCACGGCACTGCACTGACCCATATACACTGCATTGCTCCCAGGCGGTGCTGCATCGCCCTGCGCTGCGTTGCCCAGTGCTGCCTTGCCCCACACTATTGCCCTGTACCACTGCACAGAAGGCTCAACTGCACAGCGCTGCGTTGCCCCTGCAAGCACTGCACTACGCTGCATTGCTGCCCTGCAGAATGCTGCGCTGCATTGCACTGCGCTGCCCCGCGCTGCGCTGCATTGCACTGCGCTGCGCGCGCGCCCCCCGCCACCTTCACCTCACCTTCCCGCCCCCTGCCCCACCCCTCGCTCCTCCGGGAGCCGCGCCCAATCAGGAGCCCCCGTCGCCTCCGCCCCACCCTCTCCCGCGCTCCCCGCTCGCCTATTGGTGGGGAGCGCTACCACGGGCGCCGG